GGAGGGGGTGGTCCTGGGGGGGTCGTTCCCCCTTTGGGGGGTCAGTGCCCCCTCGGGGGGGTCATTGTCCCCCCGGGGGGGTCCCCACGTCCCTGTCCCCCCCCCAGGAGACGCTGCGGACGGCGCTGGCGGTGGGGGCCGACCGGGCGGTGCTGGCTGAGGTGGGGGAGGGGGCGGCCCCGGGACCCCGGGAGGTGGCGCTGGCTCTGGCCGGGCTGGTGGGGAGACTGGGACCCGACCTGGTGCTGCTGGGGAAGCAGGTGGGGCCCTATAGACACCTATAGATACCTATAGACACCTATAGAGACCCTATAGAGACCTATAGACTCCTATAGAGACCCTATAGAGAGCCTAGAGATACCTATAGACACCAATAGAGACCCTATAGAGAGCCTAGAGGTACCTAGAGATACCTATAGAGAGTCTATAGACACCTATAGAGAGCCTGGAGATACCTATAGACACCTATAGACACTTATAGAGAGCCTAAAGAGAGCCTAGAGACACCTATAGAGAGCCAGAGATACCTATAGACACCCTATAGACACCTATAGAGAGCCTAAAGAGAGCCTAGAGACACCTATAGACACCTAGAGATACCTATAGAGACCCTATAGAGAGTCTAGAGATACCTATAGACACCTATAGATACCTATAGAGACCCAGAGATACCTATAGACACCCTATAGAGAGCCTAGAGGTACCTATAGAGAGCCAGAGGCACCTATAGAGACCCTATAGACACCTAGAGATATCTATAGACACCTATAGAGAGCCTAGAGATACCTGTGTTGGTGGCCACCAGCGTGGGGAGCAGGGCCTGAGAGGTGCTGGTCCCCCTGTGCTGGGCACTGGGGAGGCCCCACCTCGAGGGCTGGGTCCAGTTTTGGGTCCTTTACCATAAAAAAAGCCATTTTGGGGCTGGAGCGGGTGCAGAGAAGGGCGATGGGGCTGGTCTGGGGCACAAGTCTCCTGAGGAGCGGCTGAGGGAACAGGTTGGACAAGATGATCTTTAAGGTCCTTCCAACCTGGAAGATTCTGTGATTCTGAGGAAATTTTTTTACCCAAAAAGGGCTGTTAAGCCTTGGAAGGGGCTGCGACGGGGGGGGGAGGCCCCATCCCTGGGGGGGTTCAAAGGACGGGTGGATGTAGATATGTAGATGATATGTAGATATGTAGATGATATGTAGATATGTAGATATGGAGGGGTGGGTTAGTGGGTCAGTGATGGTGCTTTTTGTTCATTGTTGGGGGTGTTTATTTTTGCCAAAATTCGGCTGACGGTTGCACACGATGATCTCTGAGGTCCCTTCCGACCTGGAACATTCTGTGATTCTATAGACACCCTATAGACCCAGAGACACCTATAGAGACCCTAAAGAGACCCTAGAGATACCTAGAAACCCCTAGAGACCCTTATAGAGATCCTATAGACACCCCAGAGACACCTATGGACCCTATAGAGACCTAGAGATACCTATAGACACCCTATAGAGACCACTAGAGACCCTTATAGAGATCCTATAGACACCTAGGGACACCTAGAGACAACCTATAGAGACCCTAAAGACAGCCTATAGACACCTAGAGATACCTAGGGAACCTTATAGAGACCCCATAGACACCTATGGACCCTATAGAGACCTAGAGATACCTATAGACACCCTAGAGACACCTAGAGAGACCCTTATAGAGATCCTATAGATACCTAGGGACACCTAGAGACACCCTATAGACACCTAGAGATAGCTAGGGACCCCTATAGAGACCCCACAGACACCTATGGACCCTATAGAGACCCTATAAAGACCCTAGGGACCCCTATAGAAACCTAGAGATACCTATAGACACCTCAGAGACACCTATAGAGACCCTAAGGACTCCTATAGACCTATAGAGACCCCTATAGAGACCTCTAGGGACACTAGAGACCGCAGAGAGACCCCTATGGACCCCTATAGAGCTCCCATAGACCCCATAGACCCCTATAGAGCCCCCTATAAGCCCTAGAACCCTCCTACGGGCCCCTATGGATCCCCTATAGCGCTCCCCCCCCTCCAAAGAACCCCATAGATCCGGGGGGGAGCCCCGCGGCCCCTATAGGGCACCCTATAGCCCCTATATGTTCCCCCCAGGCCATCGATGACGACTGTAACCAGACGGCGCAGCTCCTGGCCGCCATCTTGGACTGGCCGCAGGTGAGCCCCGCCCACTTCCGGTCACGTGGGGGGTGACTGGGGGATGACGGGATAGCCCGCCCCCCTCCCGGCGCGGGTGTGCGGGGGGGGGGGGCGGCCTTACTGGGAGGGCCCCAGTCTGTACTGGGAGGGCCCCAGTCCGGACTGGGAGGCCTCAGGCCGTACTGGGAGGCCCCCAGTGCTTACTGGGAGGCTGCGGGGTGTACTGGGAAGGGTCTAGGTCATACTGGGAAGGTCACAGTTCGAACTGGGGCACTGGGGGTGCGGGGGGGTCTCCCAGTTTGGCACTGGGGGTCTCCCAGTTCAGTACTGGTGCCCCAGTCTGGCACTGGGTGTCCCAGTTTGGTACTGGGTGTCTCCCAGTGCCCTTTGAGGGTCTCCCAGTCCCTCCTGGGGTCTCCCAGTTCTGTACTGGTGTCCCAGTTCAGTACTGGGGCTGTCCCAGTTTGGCACTGGCTGTCCCGGTTTGGCACTGGCTGTCTCCCAGTCCCTGCTGGGTGTCCCAGTTTGATACTGGGGGTGTCCCAGTCCCTCCTGGGGTGTCCCAGTTTGGTACTGGGTGTCTCCCAGTGCCCTTTGAGGGTCTTGCAGATCCTACTGGGTTCTCCCAGTCCCTCCTGGGGTCTCCCAGTCCCTGCTGGGTGTCCCAGTTTGGCACTGGGTGTCCCAGTTTGTCACTGGTCCCATTTCCCCCCCCAACAGGGCACGTTCGCCTCGGGGGTGTCCCTGGAGGGGGGCTGGGTACTGGGTGTCCCAGTTTGGCACTGGGGGTCCCAGTTTGGTACTGGGTGTCTCCCAGTTGGGTACTGGTGTCCCAGTTTGTCACTGGTCCCCATTTCCCCACAGGGCACGTTCGCCTCGGGGGTGTCCCTGGAGGAGGGGGGCTGGGTGCGGGTGTCCCAGTTCGGTACTAGTTGTCCCAGTTCGGTACTGGGTGTCTCCCAGTCCCTTGTGGGGTCTCCCAGTCCCTGCTGGGTGTCCCAGTTTGGCACTGGGGGTCTCCCAGTTTGGCACTGGGTGTCCCAGTTCATTACTGGTCCCCATTTCCCCACAGGGCACCTTCGCCTCGGGGGTGTCGCTGGAGGAGGGGGGGCTGCGGGTGCAGCGGGAGGTGGACGGGGGGCGGGTGTCCCAGTTGGGTACTGGGTGTCTCCCAGTCCCTCCTGCAGTCTCCCAGTTCATTACTGGGTGTCCCAGTTCGTTACTGGTCCCATTTCAGGGCACCTTCGCCTCGGGGGTGTCGCTGGAGGAGGGGGGGCTGCGGGTGCAGCGGGAGGTGGACGGGGGGCGGGTGTCCCAGTTGGGTACTGGGTGTCTCCCAGTCCCTCCTGCAGTCTCCCAGTTCATTACTGGGTGTCCCAGTTCGTTACTGGTCCCATTTCAGGGCACCTTCGCCTCGGGGGTGTCCCTGGAGGAGGGGGGGCTGCGGGTGCAGCGGGAGGTGGACGGGGGGCGGGTGTCCCAGTTGGGTACTGGGTGT